ATAAAGAACCCAAATAAGTCACTAAAACAGTCAAGGTGGTTAACAAGCAGCACTGCAATAGCATTAAATGATAACGCGTACACCTAGTATTATCTCACTCTATATCAATCTAAGCCTGTACACCAGAAAAATAAGGTTGCATAAATTTAAGGACTACAAATATTTTATGGGTAGCACCACTGTCCGACTGCCCAGAAAAGTATTGGTATTGCTTTCCTGGTCATTGAGCTAAGTTTATGTTTTCAGAACATCGTCATTGCACATTATTCCAACCTCCCAACCTTAGAGAACGTGTGTGTGAGAGAGAGAGAAAGACCTGAGCAGCAGAAAGCACTTCAGGTGAAAAACGAACATAACGCTGACTCCCATAGACAGCAGAACTGACATCAAAGCCACTGCCGACTTTTCCTTGGGCAATACAGTGGGCACTTTGAGCTATCATATGCACGATATCAAGATCCATGGAATTTTTATTTTGTTGGTGTTGATCTTCAGATGAGGTGGAAAGGTTAACAACACCAAGGTAATGAAGTAAAGCAGCAACTACAGCTGTAGTCATTGCTGCAGATGAACCCAATCCAGTTTTTGCAACTTCAGGTTTACAATTTCCTCCATTTGATTCCTCAGAATTGAAAGTAATTGATGTAAAAGGTGGTAGAGTAGCCAATGCTTCTGGTGTCAGTGGAAGTCCAAGTGCTTCGATCTGTGGAGGAACATGTCAGCAGCTTATATTGCAGTACTAACATACAAGAACAGGTAACAGTTACTAAATAGTAAATGCTCGTCTCAAGAATATGTATTTTATTTCTATAAAGAATATTAGAGAAACACTAAAATACCTGATTCCTGTATGAGTAAAAGTCATTGCAACCTAAGATCGTGATATCAAGCCCTGCATGATAAGTTCAGCTCCGTTCTTAGATCCCTGAAGCTATGGTTTCCATAAAAAGAAAATAAATAAATGCAACGTTAAATATTACCTTGTAAGAGCAGTTTATCTAATGCATCCTTCTTATTCTCATCAAATGTTGCATGTGCAGCTGCTACAGTGTATTGAATTGCATTCTCTACAAAAGGGTTTCTTGATTCACTGGAATTATATGCAAAAAAATTAGTGAACCAACTTAACAATCCTTAGCTTCTTTAATAATTGGCTATTTGACTTATATTTCGTACAACAATTGGAATGATAAAAGGCACACTTAATAGCTATTTAAACTTATTTAATGCTAGATACACATCAATAATAGAAAAGATGTGATCCACGATACTAGATAGACATCCATGATGAAAAGGATGCAATCTACGACGCTAGATGTGGGAGTAAAAAACTTTGATTACATGATGGAACTTGCCTTGAAGATACACATTGAAGTATTAAATGTTTCCGAGACAGTTCGTACATGCTTTCTCTGGAAAGCTGAGGAGATGTTAGTTTGACATCGGACCATGACTGAAAGACAATACAGAGGACATGAGTAAGTGTTACAACAAGCAAGAAAACTACTGTCAAGCCTCTTGTTTTTAGAGTAAGGCACCGAGCAAGGGATCAATATCATACACACAAGCAGTGAAGTTTTAGAAACTCTGCAAGCGACTTTGAATTTTGGCCATGTTCTTTAATCAAATGAGTTAACTTTCCAATTCAGTATCGGATTTCCTTATTTACCATTAAATTGAAACATGATAACCAATTAATCATTCATAGAAACTGTCAGATCAGAGCTTTCAAAAGGATGGGAACAAAAGGATTAAGCTACCCGTGCCCAGCTTTCAGGCTTGACATCTTCATAAATTGGCTTCACAACAGCAAAAAATCGTGCGCTAGTGCTCAGAACAATCCCAGAATTTGGCCTCTCCAAAATTAAGTACCCACCGGTCATCAAAACCTTCCCCGGAGCAGAAGCAACACTGTATATTAACATTAATCAATCACAAGAATTATCGAAAGGAAGATACCTTATCATGATTCGTGCTAACCTACAACAAAGTAAATCAAATTAACAAATCTGGGTCGAATGAACTTAAACTTACACTTCCATTGTCGTCAACGATTATGATTTGGGAGTTGAAATCTGGGTACCTCAAATGGATTAAAGAAAACTGAGAAATTTGAAGGCTTTAGAAAGAAAGGAAATATTTTATTTTTCTAATAGGGGCAGATTGATCTGTTGCCCGACCCCGTAATTGATAGGGAAAGCTTGAAGCAGAGATTCCGAAACTCAGTAATCAGCAAACGAAACATGAAGAGTAACCCGGCAGTGGGCAGTCAGCACAGAAACATACTGAAAATAGGGCCATTCACCAACCATATTATCACTTTCTAATAGAATATAGTTAATTTAATAATTTACGATGAATCAAAAATTAAAATGCTAACTTGTCAAATGTGTCAACTATAAAAAATATCATTCAAACATTTTTTTTATAATTTGGTATTTCGTTTTTATTTAATTGATTAATTTAGATAAAATATATACAAATTAATCTAATTTTTTAATCTAATTTTCATTTCATATCATTGGAATTTAGGATAAAGTACACAAACGGTCCTTGACTCTAAGATATTATTTTGTTAAGTCATGTAACTATTAAAACTTACAAAATGGTCTCCCGATTATAGAGAGTTGCGTAGAGTTCCTCAACTATTAAAATTTATAAAATAATCACTCAATTATTATTATATTCTAAATTTATCCTTTTTCGTTAAAAAATTAACGGTAGTCTAAGCAAGACATTAACATGCTTACTGAGATATGATAATTTGATCTCATAATCTCAAACGACTATCATATCTCAACCAGCATGTTAACTTCCAGCTCAACAATAGTTATTTTTTAATGGAAATGACAAATTTGGAACATAATGAATAGTCGGTGACCATTTAATAATTTTTAATAGTCGAGGGACTCTACAAAGCTACAACCCCATAGTCAGGATACCATTTTGTAACTTTTAATAGTCAAGTAACTTAACAAAGTAATATCCTATAATCAATAGACCATTCATATACTTTACTCTAAAATTTAAATCTTTAATCATATATTATAAAAATTAATTATATAAATATAAATTATTTCATTCATAATATCATAATTTAATTTTTTTTATTCAGTAGATGTTATGATATAATCATTGTATGCAGCTCAAATTTAAATTAATTCGCTATACTGACTAAATTATTACAACTAATTATGTATTATAATTCTAAATAGGCAAAATATAAAAAATAGCTCGCAATGTTTATTAAGATAGTCATTTTAGTCCATGTTTTCTTTTATTTTTGAAGCATTTTGGCTCCCCAACGTTTCACTTTGGGGCAAAAAGCTCCATCTATAGATGAAAACTATTAGATAACACATGATTAACGTTTCAAAATATGAGCATTTTTAACCTAAAATGAAACGTTGAGTGCTAAAATGTCAGACAAAAAAAAGAGTAAGGGACAGTTAATTTTGTTAAATGTTAGGGGCATTTTTACTCTAAAATAAATCATTGGGAGCCAAAATGTTCAAAAAATAAATTATAGAGTAAAATGATCATTTTGATAACGTTAAGAGTTAATTTTGACATTATGTCTTCTAAATATTAAATGAATCTAAGTTGAGCTCGCCGCTTTCTCTCTACTTGAACAACAAAAGGAGAAGGATTATATTATTAACATTTAAAATAAACTTATTATGCACGAAATTTGTGATTTTAGTAGTTTAAAAAATAATTGTTACTTTTAGAAGATTTTAAGTTTAAGCACAACATTTTTGTGTTTAAACATTCAGTGTAAAATTATTGAGAATTTTTTAAATAAATATGATATTATAATCATTTTATTTATAAATATTAAATTATGGAACCTAATAAAATTATACAGATAAATAACACCATTAATCGTCAACTTATTATTGCTTTCTTATTTTGATCATCAAACTCTTTTTTAGTAAAATTGTCACTAAAATTACTTTTTTTAAAATTTTAATCATTACTCATTAAAAAATTAAATACAACATTAATGTAATTTTTTACGATATATTTTCTCTCTTCATTAATCATTTACGTGCTATTTTAAAATAATTTTATTTAAACTAATAAGAAGATGATACGTGTTTTCGTATAAAAATCAAAATTTGACTTTGGGGAAGCTTAGACTCATGACCCCTTTATATTTAACCAAAGTATAAATTTAATTTTTATTTTAGATGATATCATGTTATTGTTTTATTAATTTAAATAAAATCATAAATAGTACATATACGATAGAGAAGAAAATGGTGTTGCTTAATTATAGTGTTGCTTTGTTAAGTTTTCGTACTATTAAAAATTATAAAATTATCTCTTAATTACATATTGTTATTTTTGTTGAGTCTCACGATTGTTAAAAATTACAAAATGGTCACATGATTATTTATATGTTCTAAAATGATTATTTTTGCTAAAAAAATAACGCTTGTTTAAGCTGGACATTAAATTGTTTACTGTGATATGATAAAAATCATATTTTAATATTGTATAGTGGCACCATTGTTGCTTTTAAGCACTGACTCGACAACATAATGTTTTAAGCACATGCTCAACGATATAATGTAAACATAGATTCAATATACAAAATACAATCAAAACGATTCTAGGATCAGACTTTATTATATATCGATCAACATGTTAACGTTAACCTCACGATCGCCAACTTATTAACTGAAAATGATGAGTTTGAAACATATGAATAGTCGAGTAATCATTATATAACTTTTAATAATCGAAGAATCTGATAAAACAATATTATATAATCGAAATACTATTTTATAATTTTTAATAATAATGACACTCAATACTCTATAAATTAAAATGCGTAATCCTATTTTTTTTTTATATAAAGATATTTAACCAAGCCCATGTTTTAGTAACTTGTGGCTGAGTCTGACGTTCGAATCGACGGGCATATTCGAACACGTGATGGCAAAGCCCTAAGAACATGGGTAGCCGAAACCAGAATTAGGATATCCAAATCTCATCCCCAAACTCCCCTCAGTCTGTACTGTTCCAATACAACTACCTTCTTTCTTCTGCTCGATATTTAGCGAAAACCCTAAACCCCTCCCTCTAAAATCCTCTTTTTATTTATATTTTTTCCTTTTTCTTTTTCCTTATATATACGTTGCCTGTCCCATTTACAACCCAAATTAGGATTCTGCCCAGAAATTCTGGAGTGAAGCCCACTCTTTGCAAGTCTGACTCTGGTCATGAGGTATTTTTTTATATATCTTCTTTCTTTCTTATCTAAAGGTTTGGGGATGAGAAAATTTTGATTTTGCTTGGAGTAAATATCACTGTGAAACTTGGTTTTGATTATTTTTTGGCTTCAATATTTTGATACATGTCCTTCCTTCAGCTATTGGTTGGAAAAAAATTGAAAAGCTTTTGTTTTTATTTAATCTGAAGTTGGATATGGTTTTGGTTTAGCATTCAAGATTTTTAGGCCAGGACTCAATCGTGTTTCGATATTCTTTTTTTGGAATTACGTTGTTGAGCTGTATAAAATTTGGTTGGTTAGCTGTTTCTGGAATTATTAAAGTTGTCTCATTCAACCTGCTTTTACCTTTAGCAATTTAATCATTTTCTTTTAGTGGGGCAATTTACTCTTTCAATGAGAGTAAACAATTAATCTATGTTTGAGGAGTCTGTTACGTGCTCAAATAATGAATCTTGAAGTTCAATAGATTGCTCTTGTTTGGTGAGTGGTTGGTCTCTGTTTGGTTTTGGGATCGTTTGAGAGAAAAGCGATGAATACAATCTTCAAATGGTAGTATTTCTTATCATTTTGATATTTAGCTTCTATCGATATATGTTTTCCTGTAATTGGGTCATGTACAAAATTGCAAATATACATATATATGTGTGTGTGTGTCAAGCTTTCTTAATGTCATATTCTTGCTCTGTGTATGTGATAAGTGGTATAGACGTCATGCTGACTGATATGGGCGAGATATGCTTCATGGTTTTGCAGCTTTTTGTTTTGCTTGCTTTAAGTTGAAGTGTTAAGATTTATTGAAGAAAGAAGTGCACTTTTGGGATTTAATGGTTGAGTTGGAGACTTCCAATGATAAGATTTTTCATTTGTTCGCTGGATGATCAATATGATCCCCTTTTGTTGAACATTTCTCCTTTGTGAAGATATAAGTTATATTTGAGGAACCATAATTTACTAACTGGTTTTTATTTCATGTTTTTGGGAAACATTTCTCCTGTTTTGCAGGTTTGATGCCATGTTGGCGCAATAGTAGATTTTAGACATAGAATTACGTAGATGGAGATAGTTGAATCAATACTCAATCTTCCAGTGCAAGATCCAGCAGAACAGGAGTTTTCTTCTGCTGATTTGACTTGGACAAAGTTTGGCACAGCTGAGCACCATGATGATGTAGCACTCATTCCTTATGCTCGAGTAGATGAATTTATAATTGGAGAATGCTCCAATGTGGAATGCCCAACACGATTTCATATTGAAAGGGGACGGAAACGATCAATGGGCAGTTTAAAGGAGTATAAGAGTGACGAATATTTGGAATATAGACTGTAAGTTCGAACCGTGGTTAACAATGTTTCCCATTCTGTGTTCTTCTAATATCTCTTTTGATTGATTCTATCTTCTGTGTAACAAAAACCTGATATATTCTTTAAGTGTTAGAAGATTTGATATTCATTTTCTCATTAATACGAGTTCTACCTGAGATATAAACATAAGTTTTTATGTTTTCCTTGTATGTGTGAAGATATTGGTGTTCCTTCGGTCCTGAAAATTATGGGGAAGGTGGAGGTGTATTACCTAGTCGAAGATATCGCCTAAACACCCGAAATCGGGCTGCTAGACCTCAATCCATGCGAGGATGCACATGCCATTTTGTAGTCAAACGTCTTTATGCTCGTCCATCGCTTGCACTTATTATATTCAATGAGAGACGCCATATAAACAAATCTGGCTTTGTTTGCCATGGACCCCTTGACAAAGATGCCATTGGCCCCGGTGCTAAGAAAATTCCATATATTTCCAATGAGATTCAACAACAAACAATGTCCATGATCTATTTGGGTATTCCTGAAGAAAATGTGCTGGAGAAACACATAGAGTATGTTCAACGATATGGTGGTTCAGATGCAACAGTTAGTACCCTTGCTTCCCAATATGTCCGCAAACTTGGGATGATCATTAAGAGGTCTACCCACGAGTTAGATCTAGATGATCAAGCTAGCATTCGGATGTGGGTTGAACGCAATAAGAAATCTATATTTTTCTATCAGGACACTTCTGAAACAGATCCTTTCATTCTTGGGATTCAAACAGAATGGCAGTTGCAACAGATGGTTCGATTTGGCCATCGCAGTCTCATAGCAGCTGATTCAACATTTGGCATTAAAAGGCTCAAGGTAATAAAATGGTTGTTTTTTGTTTGTTCAGAGCTTTAAAAAAGCTATTTCAGTTAGTATTACATTATGGTGTTTCTGAATGCAGTACCCTTTATGCACTCTTCTTGTCTTTGATTCAAGACAACATGCATTACCTGTTGCATGGGTCATTACCCGTAGCGTTGCAAAGTCAGACATGGCAAAATGGATGAAAGCCCTACTTGATCGAGCTCGGAGCATAGATCCCGGATGGAAGATCAATGGTTTTTTGATTGATGATGCAGCTGTGGAGATTGATCCCATCAGGCAGGATATTTTTTATCAGAAAGTTTGGCTTGAATAAAGTGTTTCATTTTCTTACTCCTGTTTTGTCTGTTTTATCAGGGATGCTTTTAGCTGTCCTATCCTATTTTCCATTTGGCGTGTTCGAAGATCTTGGTTGAGGAATGTTGTTAAGAAATGTTCCAACATTGAAGTTCAGCGGGAACTTTTTAAGCGCCTGGGAGAAATAGTTTACAGCATATGGGGTGGCGTAAACTCTTCTGTTCCCTTAGAAGAGTTAATTCTGGATTTTGTCGATCAATCTGCCTTCATGGAGTATTTCAAATCCACTTGGGTGCCTAAAATTGGTTAGATCTCTCACTATTTCATATGCAAAAATGTGCCTATGTAATGACGATTCCCTTGTTTAATACTTGCGTTTATTTTGGTTTAACAGAAATGTGGCTTTCAACGATGAGAACTCTTCCACTTGCAAGCCAGGAGGCATCTGGTGCCATAGAAGCATATCATGTGAAGCTGAAAACAAAATTGTTTGACGATTCACATCTTGGTGCACTTCAGAGAGTTGACTGGTTAGTACACAAGCTGACAACTGAGTTGCATTCAGCATATTGGCTTGACCGGTATGCAGACGAAAGTGATTCTTTTCTAAATGTCAAGGAGGAATACATTGCATCTACATCTTGGCATCGGGCGCTGCAGATTCCTGATTCTGCTGTTACATTAGATGATAAGAACCATCTATTTGCGAAGGTAACAAGTCAGAAAGACAGCAGCAGAACACATTTAGTTTGGAACCCTGGATCAGACTTCGCTTTCTGCGACTGTGTGTGGTCCATGCAAGGAAACTTTTGCAAGCATGTCATCAAGGTCAATATGATCTGTGAAAATGCCAAAGGCTACAAACTTTCCATGTCTTCTTGGTCATTCAGGGAGATATTGATGGATCTTTGGAAGAAACCAATGGACGACTCGATTGGTTTAGATGAGTCAGTTGCCTGGACCCACCAGATGCTTGATCAAATCAAACAACTTGTTGAACTGAATAATTCAAATGATATTGGCGTTGTGGTAAACAATATGCCATTGAAATGGGTTTCTAAGAAGGGAAGAACATTTGTTGGTATACCAGCTTCCCTTCCTGCTCTTGCATCTAGTTCGAAGGGCGTTGCAAAGAATCTGCAGAAGAATAGGAAACGAAAAAGATTATCAAGATTAAGATGATCATGGAAGTTGCTTATATTTGCCAGCATTTAGCCAACATCAGACCCTATGGTGCAGGACGCCTCTATTTGAAAATAGTCCGTTTCCATATTGGGTAACATCAACAATCTTCATTTCTTGCAGCACGAGAAGCCAAACTATTCTTTAGATAGAATGACTTTAGCTTCCAAAGACGGGTTTCAAGGGAATTAACCATGCCAATATATTCATTTCAGAGGAAAGCTCCAAGAGTTATCGACACATTCATGTTCACTCCAACACTCATCTATAGATATTTAAGGCCAACATCTCGAAAAAGAAGGTATGCATCTATCAATCAATCTATCCATGTTATTGAGGTTTGTTTTAGAATTTGGAACCCGAGTGTCGTCTTTCCTTTCTCAGGTCTTTATGTACGTTCTCTTCAGGGAAAACAGAGCAAAGCATCAGGCATCTTGCCAATGGATCCATGACTCACTATTTCTATTGATAGGCAATTACAAAATCATGAGCACTGTTCAGTTGATATTTGAATTTGAGCTTGGCATAGAAAGATTATAGTACATTATGTTTATTTGTATACCTTTATTAAGTATGATAAAAATTATACAAGATCTTTGTTTTCTTGAATGCAAAACTCAATTATGACTGAAATGGTTATTCTTGTTATTGAGGTATATCAACGGGTAAACTACCCTATTGGTTACCTAACTGTTACGACTTGTCTAGTTTGGGCAGGCAAATGTGCTTGTTTTTTAAAAAAATTAATGTTGACGAATAAGATGGCACGTGTTGCCCCTTATTGGTAATCAAAATTAGTTCAAACACATGATATATGTCTCTATACGCCATCAGTTGGGATGCCTCGAGCTGGGCCACGGTGGTGGCATAATCAAAGTTAACTACAACTACGCACCTTTCACGGCCGAGTATTAGAGAGCTGGTCCTCGAGGGTTGCTCTACAGATTCCGTCCAAGAATAACCCGACATCACTACCAGCAAGGACAAGGATGCCAGGTTCTTAACGCCAAAACGGCGAGCTGCTGCCATACAGAAGATCAGGCAGCATTATATATGCTACTCGTCCTCTTATGACGTATGTCATAGCCCCAGGAGCTAAACTTCCAGGTTGTGTACTTGATCCGATCGAAAAGGAAATGGTTAACGGATGCCATTAAGGGTGTTCAGTTAAAACCGAATTAATCGATCGAACCGAAATTTCGGTCGGTTAACAGTTAATTTTTTTTCTTTCAAATTTCAGTTTCGGCTAATTCAGTTCGAAATCGGTTAATTAAAGAATTAATCAAAATTATTAAATATTATATATATATATAATAATAATAACTTTAGGGGTGTTTGAAATCGATTTTTACTGAATTAACCGATCAAATTAAAAAAAATATTAAATATATATTATTTATAAATTTTGATTAATTCGGTTAATTTAGTTAACCGATTAATTAACCGAACTTAGTTCGATTCAGTTAAATTTTTTTAGAAAAAATTCGGTTCGTTTAACGGTTAATGGGGAAAAATTCTATTAATAAAATTTGAGTAATTCTGTTTGGTCGGTTAACAGAATTACCAACACCCCCAGATGCCATAAGAAGCAAGCTTCATTTGTGACCAGTAGCAAGCTCATGCCGTGGCTGGCTGCATGTGGTTTCGTTTCATTTCATCGCATTTCGCGTTTATGGGATGGGACTCGATTGAATCTAATCTCGGAATTATCAACGAATCACATATATCTAACTTTCAAAGAATTGAGTATACAAATGTGCAACCTTTCCCCTCTGTTAAAACAATACGTATGGAGAGTACAACGTCAACTAAATCATGGGAGTTGGAATGACCCTCCAATATCAGAATTTTGTGTCGGAGGCTTGATCGCCACACAGAGTAGAGAAATATAGATAGTAATAAGACCTGACCAAACGTATACGATCGTCGGCGTTTTCCCTTTGCAAAGGGGTAGAGATGAGCTAATACCTAGAAACTGAAGAACACAACTCCTAGCAGATGACTCCATTCAGGATCGGTACTGTATACCGTACGAATAATTCCGTAAGCGATGGCGATCAAGTTAACAAATATGATGGTGAGTGGGGGTATCATGAGAGATGTCCACTTGAAGATGTAGAGATCAGCGAAATCATCATCCCCTTCGTCACCGGCTGATTTTTCGATGCCTGCAATCACCTTTAATAGCCCCTGGAGCACTGCTGCAAGATGAGCACTGGTGCCTACGATCAACCAAAACTGCTCATTCCGCCACCACTCTTCTAGTTCAATGCCGGACCACTTGATCTCTAACACCGCTAGAGCGCAAAGGGTCAAGGCAGAGTTTCAAATAGCGGCCGAATAGCGGTGTCGCGGCCGTTATATCTCGGTCGCAACGGTGTCCGAAACCGCTATCGCAAAAAATAACGGTGTGAAGTGGATCACATCAATAACGGCAGATCGCGGCCGCAATTTAACGGATCACGGCTAATCGCGGCAATAGCAAACCGTTATTTCGCTATTATTCCGTTATTTTAATTTTTTTTAAAAACAGGTTTTTTATTAAAAAAATCAGCACCTTCGGAAAAAAATTCATGATCGTGATACCCGCAATGACCGTAATAGTATCCATTATATCCGCAACCGTGAAGATAAGCAATAGACGATGAATTGATTCGAAAAGAGGGGAAGTGCGGGAAGGAAGCAGTAGACGATGAGGAATATGGAAGTGAAAGGGTATATCCCAACGTTAAGATAAGCAATACTCTGCAGAAACATAAGCCTTGGGCTGCCTAGTAGAGCATTGTTGCGTGAGAAGAATATCTCAACCGAGCCAGTGGCCCAACGAAGAATTTGGTGAAGCCTATCGGTCAGATTTATCGGAGCAGTGCCACGAAAAGCATCTTTTTTGGTCAGACAAATAAACAGATCTCCACCCTCGATTATGCATCCTATACCCTGTAACAACATCTTCTGTCACTGATCCATAAATCCACCCTACACTTTGCCCCCATTCAGTCTTGTCCTCGTACCAGCACGGGATAACATTGATTGCCTCTGCAATTGTGGATGGATCAAGGGGCTCCCGAGGCACAGTGAGAGCAGTGGACGCCCATATTCGACAGAAGGATGATCTGCAAGGGGATGGCCTTGAATTGCTGCAACCCGGACAGAATAAGTAAATTTGAGTTTCCAAACTTCTTAGGAATGAGAGCAATATTCATTTCATCATCCTCCCTCAACTGAGCATCTTCAGTGTCAACATCAGGGGCAGAAGCAACAGTTGCGGGTTTCTTACAACGTGGAAAGCAGCAGCTGCAGCAACCTGGGTTATCTTCTAACCGAGGTGGCTCAAAACCATAGAGGGCAGTGCGACGAAAGAGGCATCCTGTTCCAACATATACCGGACCCTGAAGTCCATCAAGAGCTCGCATGTTAACATCAAAGAAAACTGTGTTGTGATTGGCATAGCGATCAGATGGATCAATTCCTTCAAACCTCTGAGGAAACTGGACATAACAAATACGCTCCCCATCTCTGTCCATCATAAAGCAAATTCCTTCTCTCATTGCTAGGGAATTGTAAATGTAGTGGTCACAATCAAGATTAAGTATGAAGGGACCATTGGACATGATTGCAGAAGCTCGAACGAGTGCATTCATGGCTCCTGCCTTCTCCTTGTGATCATAACCAGGTCGCTTCTCACGAGTAACATAAACTAACATTGGAAGACGAATATCAACCTCACTCAGATCCATGGAATTTCCATCACCTTCTGTACCATTTTGAGGCTCAGCACGGGGAGGGTCCAACATCACCTGCAATCAACAGAGTTCAGTATCTTAGTTGACATAATCACACCATCATTAGAAATAATTAGCAAAATCGTTCTAAGATTATATTAAAAAAATAAAAAGGAATTACAATTATCTCAACCTATCTAATGTTAAAATTATCGAATGTAATTTAACTGAGATATGAAATTACAATTATTATATGTACAAACTCCTTATATCCTTCTAAGAATATAATTCAATTAATGTTTTTTTTCACTTAAATTTTCTCTTAATGTTTTTGTGCCATCTTCTTTTCTTTTGACTTTGTTTAATCGTCGGTGACATTAGTCTTAATGTTAGTTGTCGACCGCTGGTGATTTTCAGTTCTTTTTTTTTCATAACATGTCATTTTTTGGAGTTTTTTTTAATTGAATAAAAATTTATGTTCTTGTGACACGTTTTTCTCTGATCTGGTAACACATGCTTTCTCTATTCTTGTGGCGTGATCCTTGGGACTTTTGGTACGTTTTTTTGCATACTTTTACGGTCGTTTTGATGCTCGCACAAACGACATTTGTTTTCTGATTAGTTTGTCGGTGGTTAAGTATAGTTAAATCCCTCTTTAGTAAAGGTTGTTTGTATATATAATCAGAATTGTGTAGCGAAACATCCTGTCAGATAATTTGATTTGCTCACCACTCCTTATCACTTCGTAAAGCGTCTCGTTCGACAGAGGTTAGAATTTTATTAAGGTTACTGATTTTTTTTATGTTGGTTGTCATTCTCAAGAGAATATTTTATTTTTTTCGTATCTTTAGATTTAATAATTTTGTTTTTGTATGAGTTTTTTGATATTATTGTCTCCATTTTTCTATCTGTACTGCATTGTAATTTAGATTCATTCTTTTATTTTAATTAATAAAATCTAGTTGATATTGTTAAAAAAGAAAAAAAAACTCTTTAATTCACTCTGATTTAAACTACATCCATCTGTTGATATATTTATTTTCTTCCTATGTTATATAATTTTTTATTTGAGATTTAAAATTCTTTTATTATTCTATTTGAATTTATTTTAAAAATCAAATATTTTAACTATTTAAATAATATCATTTTACATTAACTTTTTATACCTATTTTACTTTAATTATATATCATATAATTACATAAATCGAACGAAATGATCGAGAGATTTATTATTATCTTTTAAAGTTTTATTCCGATAAGTTGGCCACCAACCAAGATGAAATTTCTAACTTATCAACTTAATTTCTAGACAAATCTAACAAATCTCCACCTTGGCTTGAAATTACCAAGCCTACTCAACTTCTTCAACTCCCCAAATTTGTAGTGCCTCTAATTGTGCTCACAAGCGCCACACACCCGAAGGTGTTCATACTTTCAGGATGTTAATCAAGTTCAAACAATGATTGAATTTGATTACTGTTACCACCTTGGTCATCATATCTGCAGGATTTTCTGATGTCGCAAATTTCTGAAGTAGAATCTTTCCTTCTTCAAAGATCTCCCGCACAAAGTGACCTCACGTCGATATGCTTAGTCCTTGAATGATAGACTTGATTTTTTGCTAAGTGAATAGCGCTCTGACTGTCACAATAGAGACTAATGTGACTTTGAACAACTCTCAAGTCTTCCATCAACCAGTTAAGCCAAATTGCTTCCTTTACAGCCTCTGAAACTGACATGTATCCTGCCTCTGTAGTAGACAAGGCCACCGTAGATTGCAATGTAGACTTCCAACTTACTGGGGCTTTAGCAAGAGTAAACAAATACCCAATAGTTGAT